CCCTGTTTAATCCTGTTTTAAGTTACCCTTCTTAAAATAATGTGAATTGATAAAACAATATAAACTAAATACAAATCAAACAAAGAATCATAAAAGGATGGCAAATGAAAGATTTTGTATGCCTTAACCCTTTCACCGATAGCTGCCCAGACAGAAGCTACTCTGAGACGATGGCTTCCCTGGCTACTATTACTCAAGTGGGAGATCTTCATAATAAATGTCAATAAAAACTTGTCTGTAGTTATTTGTGTCTTTATTAAATTCACTAACACCATGTTCACAGTTTTGTTCATGTTTTGATAATTTTTCTTCATAAAATATTCAAATTTTCGGAATTATCTAGGTGAAATTCTCAAAATTCTGCTCTTAGACTCAAAATCGTAATTTTTTAACCCAAAACGGCAAAATTTTGAAAAATTTAATGAGGCTGTACAAATTCCTTACACTGAACGATGTCCATTCCAAGTGTTTTGTACATAAAACGACATTTTATGTCAAAAAAGTATACTATAAAATTGAGAATGGAAATGGGGAATGTGTCAAAGAGACAACAACCCGACCACAGAACAGACAACAGCAGAAGGCCACCAACAGGTCTTCAATGCAGCGAGAAATTCCCGCAACCGGAGGCGTCCTTCAGCTGGCCCCTAAACAAATATATATACTAGTTCAGTGATAATGAACGCCATACTAAACTCCAAATTGTACACAAGAAACTAAAATTAAAAATAATACAAGACTAACAAAGGCTAGAGGCTCCTGACTTGGGACAGGCGCAAAAATGCGGCGGGGTTAAACATGTTTATGAGATCTCAACCCTCCCCCTATACCTCTAGCCAATGTAGAAAAGTAAACGCATAACAATACGCACATTAAAATTCAGTTCAAGAGAAGTCCGAGTCTGATGTCAGAAGATGTAACCAAAGAAAATAAACAAAATGACAATAATACATAAATAACAACAGACTACTAGCAGTTAACTGACATGCCAGCTCCAGACTTCAATTAAACTGATTGAAAGATTATGTCTTCATCATATGAATATCAGGCACAATCCTTCCCGTTAGGGGTTTAGTATCATACCATCATAACATATATGAGAAGAACATAACCTGTGTCATGCCAACAACTGGTTTTTAAATAAATGTGTTTAGTGCCGATGCAAAGACCCTATAAGTGAATCAATATTAACGCCAAAATATGCAATCTTTAATGACCTGACAACAGTATCGTAACTATATTTTGGCTAGTTTGGCTTCAATTCTTCCATATTCTTTCAAAAAAAATGTTCCCTCATTACAAATTCTCGTAAATTCCGTAAATTTCCTCTGATTTTAACACGGTTTTCAACAAACGGAAGCGCCATGTTTACACTTTCATCCGGGTATTCAACAAAGAAAGATAACTCGTGTTTGCACTGTTTTGAGCGGGAAATATAAAAGAGGTATTCCAATCCCGGTCAAATGGGACTCATCGTCAGCTGTCTGAAGCGTGAATCCCGGTAAACCGGGACTCATCGGCGAAAGGGTTAAGACAAAAAAAATATTTATATTTTAAAAATATCTTAAAAGATCTATACTTCAATTCAATGTTTATATTGAAATTTATAAGAAATGTATTGAATCAAAGTTGTGAAATATTCATGTGCACACACATAATACACCATCTGAGACAACATGGTTGCACTCTGTATCATACAGAGGTATCTGGATTGTAAAGTTGTCCTGATTGGATACAAATGTGAAAAATGAAGAAATAGGAAAGAAACAAACAACACACCAATCTGTAGGATATAACCATATTTAAAGAAACAAAGTATATCTATTAACTCTTAGATGTGTGTCGTAGATGAATAAATAAACATGTCATATATTTCACTTGAAAATGTCGTTCGCGCAAAATCTCCCCCTCAGCTGTCATAGCTGAGAGGGAGATCTCCCTCTTTGAAGGTTTCAGAGGTTGGCAGGTATGTTGTAGAAGTAGTACCTCTAACTGTTAGTCTGTGTTTATAATTTCACAAGAAAATAAATAACCAGGAAAAAAAGTCCATACAAAGTTTCAACATTAACTTTTTTACAACTTGAAATTCGAGTTAGTGTCCATGATATTTTACTTGTCCAAATTCTGTACTTGCTGCAAAAAATTTCTGAACTTTCAGTATGGACACAAAATCAATTTATCATGTTCAGATTTTCTTCTCAGAAATTTCACTAAAAATTTTCAAAAAACACATAAAATGAGTTATAAGGAAACTGAAAATAATTTTGAACTGTACAAATGTAAAGAATGCTTTAAATATATGCATTGTTTAATCTTTAATTTAAATTATTATTATACGTTACATTGTATGAAGTACAGAAACACAATGTATGTATTTTGGCAATATTGTGAATTGAGTTATTTCCCCTTGGTCATAAAACTGACTGTAAATGTGTGGTTAAACCAAAACATAGTACAGCACATCTGGTTTCATGTTAAAATAGGACAAAAATATAATGCCCTTGGATTTTACAGTTGTAGCAAATAAACCCTGCATTTCGTTGCATATTTTTTTTCAGTCATTAACATGTATATCTTGGGTGTTTTAAGGTACCATTCTTTTTGATTGAGTTTTTTAAGGCACCATCCTTTTGATCGGGTGTTTTAAGGCACCATCCTTTTGATTGGGTGTTTTAAGGCACAATTCTTTTTGATTGGGTGTTCCTATGAAATATTACAGAAACATGCATCGACCTAGTTACTAATGCTTGTAATTTTTACTGTAGACTAGTACTGGACAGGATAAAATTTTATTCATGCCAAGTGTTTGTTTACTTGAAACTAAGGCAGAGTTCACAAAATCTTTTTTCCCTGGTGGTCCTTGAGGAAAATCTGCTGGTCCTCACTATTATTTGTATTGCAAAACACCAAAATAGTGTCAGTCCTTTACACAATTTTGGTTGTCAAACCCTATATATATGGACACCACTTTTCGCGAACTCCGCAAAGGTATATCCTGCCTATTTTTTTCTTCAAACATACCAATTTAACAAGGGCAAATAGGGGAAAATCAATGATTGTACATTCCCTTAAGAAGGAACTTCTTACTTCAACTTAATTATTTTTGATAAAATGGTTGTCCTGAAAAGTATGGTATTACATACACACATATATATCTATTTAGTTATTTAGATAATTTTGTATCTGACTCTGAGTATAATATAATTAATAAATTGCTTTACAAGGACATGTATATGATCTGAAGAATGTACATCTTACTGCACTATATTGGGTGAACTCACAAAACACCGTTCAAGAAGAGGATGGTATTTCAAATATCTAAACAGCCAGTAGTAAAATAGCCTGGAATCCTGGCTCACCAGTCAAAACACAATGACATATACTTTTTTAATGAATGTTAGAATGAACTGATGCATAGTGGGATAGCATCATTTCTTGACAAATTGCAGGAAATGTTTTTATTGCCTCGAATTCATTTAAAATGCAAATTCCAGTAAATATAGAGCAAAAATAATCCAAACATTTTGATTGTACATAGCTTAATGCAATAAAATCATATTCACTTCTTTTCCCCCCATTTTTTTGGTTCTCATTTGAACGAAAACAGCTACTCTCCAAGTTATGCATATATGTGTAAACATTCACTTGCCAGACAATGAGAAACTAGTTCTTCCCACCACATCAGAAACAAATGAAGAAATTTTTAATCAAAGAAAAACAGTATATTTAACAATTAACTTAAGATTTATTCATTAAAGATACAATGTACACAGAATGCAATTATCAATAACACTTGTTAATCAAAATTTGGATGTAAATGAATAATGGGAATTCAGATACCATTTAACTGAATTTTCTAATAATATTAAAGAATTCAGAGTTTTAAAAATCTTTTTTTTCCCTGTGGTCCTTGAAGAAAATCTGTTGGTCCTCACTATTATTTCTATTGAAAAATACCAAGATTGTGTCGATCTTTGCAAAATTGTGGTGGTTAAAACCTTCAGACCACCACTTTTCAAGAACTCTGAAAGATCTGATTTTTACTCAATATAGCTATGATGGAATCCCAAAATATATACTGTCTTCGGCTGTTGTCTGCTCGTTGGTCGGATTGTTGTCTCTTTGACATATTCCCCATTTCCATTCTCAATTTTATACAAATATATTAATTTAAATGTTTGCAAAACAATTAACTGAATCAGAGATTTAAGACAGACTGGACAAAATTACTTCATTTTCCAATGAAAGATATGATCTACTTGGAACAAATTATGGAAGAAATATAAAAGAAGCAGTTTAAAGTATCTGTATGATTAAATATGAAAAGTATCAATGATGCATTTAGTTTTTCAAACCCAGTTATTTTGTAAGTCCATGCATTTTTTTGGTCATATTTTTAAATATACATGAACTAATGGTCACTAATGGAATGAATGAAATAATTCCAAAGAATTGTACATGTATATGTAGATATTACCACTAAATGAAGTGTGTTTTATTATACATCATACATGTACAATGACAGTTGACAATGTATCATCATCATGTAAAGATATTACCACTAAATGCAGTGTATTTATCATAATACAAATAAACTCATATCTGATGTGTAAATAATCTATAGAGACACCTTATTTCACAATGTCATGTAGCGAGTGTAAAGAAAAACTATTTTTTACAAGTTAAAAATAGCAGATTTATCATAATAATATGACAAGTAGCAAAGTGGAGGGTGTTTATACAGAAACATGCTTATTAATCAGTGGAATGATTGACACAAACCCATTCACTTGACTTCGAACTAAAGGAATATAAGGCAACTTGAGACGCTGTATCAACTATGTCCGTTATATACGGATCTCTTTGCTGCAAAGCAGCCAAATTCATTCGACCTTCCGCCATTTCCGCTGATCGATGAAGCCTCGCAATGAATATTTACTCCGTTACTTTTATTATAAATAGCATTATTTTAAAATACAAACAAATAGCATCAGGCAAATTATTATGGCACTTCACAAATGTTATATTTTAATCAATGATTTTCCATTATTCAATTAATTTTCGGTGACATACATTCTCAAATTGAAAACAGGTGCCCGAAATTTGATCAAGCGGCACACTTATACGTTTCACGGTACAGCGAACACAAGTGTACCTTTACTTCAGTGTCGTATGTCGATGGATTACCGTAACATTTATTTACCGTGAAAAGAAGTGAAATATAGTTTTTCCCGCAATTTACAAATGGAAAGATGAAAAATATACCAATATTATGGAAGAAAACCCCGGATGATGATACAAGAAAAAAGACAAAAATGGACGAATTTGACGATTTGTAGCAAAAATTATTTTAGGATTTTTCTCAGTTTTAAGATCCAAAAATGGACAATAAGGGTCCAGGTAAGAACTTTGTATTTCTTGTGGAAACCTTTATTATAAAATCTGTGTAAGCATTCATAAATTATTGATGTTTTATCAATGGATGATTGATAAACATGGCACCCTCCTGTTGGTTACTGATGCTGAATTAAAGGATGGAAATGAAAATGTTTGCATTGTATTTTCTATTTTCAGAGAGCTAAAGATAAACTATTTCAAATAGATCACCTCATTGAAGAAAATAATTTGCTATAAAATTTGATGCTTTTTATTATGTTTACATTGAATGTAAAAAAAAAAAAAAAAAAAATTAGGGACAAAATTAACTATAAATTGCAAGGATTGAAATTTTTTTTCTCAATTTTTTATAACAAATTTTCTCCAAATATTTATCAATTTACACAAATTTGCATTTAAAAAAAAATGATATTAGCCAACAAAGTCGATGAGTAGGCATCAATAAATTGATTATGTAAAAACCATAGATTAGAAAAGTTAAAGATGTTCATACATTGTACTCATGTAGGGAAATCCCCATTTATTTTTAATGGTCATGTTTCCTAAGTTAGAAATGTTCTAAAATATGAGATGGTAGGGGTAGAATAGTTCTGCTTCACAGGTTTGAGAAAAGTGATCAGCTCCTCAAGTCCTAGAAAGGTATAAGATGTGTCAATTGCTGAGTTTAAATTAAATGATTTTAATTTGATGGAGAAGTGTAAAAGAACTAAATATTTGAGTCAGATGTATGTGAAAATCATGTTTAAAAAGAAAAAAAATAGTTAAAAGTTCATACCATAATCCTACATGTACATTGTCCTACCAAAGGTTTACCTTAGGTACACATTCTATTGATAAAATCTGCCTAACCATTAGAATTACCAGTTACTGGAATAATAAGGAATTGTATAGTTTGACTTTATAAACTACATTGTACATGTAATAGATAAAAGGAGTCTCATGGGCTTAAACTTTGGTGAAATTGTGGAGGATGTGTTCCACCTTAAGCTTATTTTCACAAATGTTTACAATGATTTTCCCGATTTTGATTCTAGAGAAAGTCTAAATGTCTTCTGTCACAACAGGATTGTTGTTAGACACTTGACAGTGACTATACGACTAGATGGGGCTCCATTTGGAAAATAGTTAAATCATCCCCCATGCTTCTAAGGAAGTACAAATCACTATGTAATATTTATGCAAAATATTAAAAGGATATAACTCACATAGAAATATTGATATCAAACCACCAGAATATGATACTCTACGTGTTAGCTTAAACAGTGGTAGCTTAAACCATAGGAGAATATATACAATGTGTATACATGTAATTACAAGATGGTTTATGTATGATGGCATTGAGACATTTCAAAGGGATGTAAATCTTACAGAACTAGGGGTATTAGAATTGCAGCACAAATAATAACCATCTTCATGCAAGTACCGGTATATATATATCCTATCATTCAAATGACTTATGTACATGTACATACCATTTGGGGTGTGTGTGATATCGTCATTAGGATTTGTATGTCAATGTGTATTTTTTGTTATTTTTAAAATGTTTAAAGATTTATAGTCCCACAAAATAATAGTATTAAAATGGCAAAATAATTCAAATCATCTTCATATATCTTAACCAAACATCCTACCATATATGAGGTTTATCATTCATATGTTGTCTTACTATCATCCTTCATGAAATGTTATAGCAATTTATACAAAATTTGAAGCAGAATCTAAAAAGATAATTAAGCAGATGGCCATGGGATCGCAAACAGGCGGATACCAGGTTGAATGTTAAGATCCCCAATGTTACAGTCTCAGTTCTAGTTGGAATCAGTAACAGGGATTTAAGAAAAATTTCATAGCAAGTCTGATATCTTTTTGACAGTTCTTTGTATTTTGATGGAATAACGATTGAAAAGCAAGCTTGTTTTTCTCATTTATATGTTTTTTGAGAATTAAAGAAAAATTATCATGATCATACTAACATGATTAACATAAAATCAGTTTGAATATATTTACAGGAAATGATCTGTATTGATATCGATAAGCATGATTAGATAAATAAACAAAAAAAAAATATTGATTATTTGATGAAGAAGAGAGGAATGGAATGTATGATGTAAGATGTATGGAAGGATTGTCTGTACTCAGGAGATAAACAGTAATCTTAATTAGAGCCATACTACACCAATTTACTGTAACAAAACAGTGGGGATCTTCCGATGCTCTAGTATCAGACACATGTTTGTTAATGTTCAGGATGCATACTCTGTGGGCAACTCCGGGTAGATGTCCTCTCATTAAATTGGGTGGCTGGAAAAAAGAAAGTGTAATCAAATGTGTAAATTTGGGTTAATGGAACAAAATTAAGAATATTCTGTTCTCTTTTTTACTGATAGGACATGTACATACATGTAAGCTTCATAGAGAACCAATTTTGCTTTTCTGTTTAATTTTGACACAAGGGGTCAATTTAGGAAAGTTTGAGTTCTGAGCAATAAACCTATAATCCTAAACCAGAGTACTTAGAATGCAACTGAACTATATTTGTTTCTGACAAGTAAAAAATTGCATAAAAGGGGTATGGCAAATTTCCTCTTTACTTGTTTTACACCAATTAAAAAAAAAAATCACAATGTTTATGAAAATCACAGTTTCATCTGGTACTTTATAATTTGACCAACATTTATGGCATATTGCGATATTCTGAACATATGATACATTTGTACATACTGTATATATTTATTAACTATGACTAAAAACTGCTATCTTGATAGATTTTGACAAATTTTACATAGCTGTATTGTTTTTCAGACACAAATTATTTCATCTTGGGTAATCATGGTAATGTAAAAAATATAAAATAATAAAGCCAGCTCAACAAAAATTTAAAAAAAAACATGTAAAATTTGTAACATTGTATCAAAATTGTCCTAAAATTTTTGCACATTTTGATGTATTGAAAATACACAAATGTATGTGTTATTATTAAGATGAATAGTATTTAATCTCTTCTTATTGACTACTTTGGCTCAATTTTGGTTAGTTTTACATTTTGAATGTATATCAAAGGTAGATTTTTCATTTGATTTATTTATGTGCCATTTGGTTATATAACTTAAAATCTTGGAATCAGAAGTGACAACACAATGTTAATGAAGCATTTGTGACAGTATTTCTTTGTTCACTATAGAATTGGTTGTATTAATAATTGATAACTCCTGATTAACAGGTTTATAACTTACAACAATAAAGTGGTACTTTTGTTTGTGGTTACTGAATCAGTACCAGTGGAATCCCATTACTAAGAATAATGGAATTTTGGTCTTGGAATCACATTGAATAGACAAAAAACTGATTCAGCATTACATGATTAAAAAGAGGGAAATTTGTATGAGGTTTTAAACCAACTGAATGGTGATGATATGAATCAAACAGTTTTATAAAGATTCCAAAGAAAGAGGTTTGGAGGTGGTAAAAATCATAGTGTACAATATTTGTGATGAATTAAAAGGTAAATTTTGAGTAGTTAAGGCTCAGCCCACAAACAATCTATGATACTACCAACAAACAATCTATGATACTACCATATACATGAAAATATGTACTTCTGTTTGTTATATTTAAAATGTTGTTACTCATGGCTGAAGTTTTATGTGGTCCAAGTAAATACCAACTATAATTATTATTGTCTGAATCATAGACCTTAAACTGAAATGTTCCTGAACATACATGAAATATTTGCCACTGGATGTTAAGCAACCAACAATCAATCAATTAAACTGATTGCTATATTATATTTAAAATTTTTTTGTGGTTCAGTCCTCTCCTAATGTTTTTATATTTTTTGATTGTTTATTTGGTTTGGTTGCTGTCTCGTTGACATATTCCCCATTTCTCTTTTTATTTATTTGCTGTATATCATAGTACATATTTTAGTAAGCCTTGCAGAGATAGAAAGATTCCTAATCAATGGAAATGAAATCATGATCCTTGAGACTGACTTACCACAAAAAACATTAATACCAATTCATGATATGTCACATACATTTTTTTGTAACTCATAATTAGGCTGCACTTTTGTTGTGAATAAAAATGATGTAAAATGACAGGGATAGCAATGAATTGTCAAAATGTCTGGTCTTATTCTTCGATTCAATGCAATCATCACATTTAAATGTTAAAACATATTGAAAAGTCTGATTCTTGGAGAACATTAATACAGTATCAACACATTTTGTTAAGAATGATTGAATCATGATACGGTGACAAATAAGACGGTCACTTATGATTGATGTTAAGTGAGAGGTTGAAGTTAAAAAAATAGACCATAACATGATGTTCAGTGTAAAAGATTGCACTCTAGAAACATATATTATTAGGGGGAAAAACATATCAACAAATGTACTTCTTTATTATGCTCTCTGAAAAAATTTCAGGAGCATACTCTAATCACTCTGTCCATTCCTCCAGCCGTCATCCTTTCATTCATGTGTCAGAAACAAATTGTTTCTGGATAATAACTAGAGTATCTAGTTAGGGATTAAACTTGTACAAGGGATGATATAGAGAAGGGATTAAAGAAGCCAATTGATTTTGGGGTCAAGATAGAAGGACTTAACTTTTTTGCAATAACAATTAAGATACAGTCTTGGGTTAACATAAAAGTATTTTAGACATTGATCAATAACTTTGTCCAACCTTATTAGAATTTTATGAACTTTTGGTAAAAAGTTTTTTTTTTTATGATTAAGAGATAATGTTTGGAGTAAAATTTAGAATATGTATTTTTTTCTTCTTTCAATATTTTACTGATACAAATGTACCTGTAGATGAACTAAGTTTTTGCAGTTTACATTTACATACAGTATGGAATTAATTTATTCAGACATCAACAACTTTGTCAAACCTTCATAGAATGTTATGAACTCAGAAATTGCAGGTGAGACACTGGGTTCTGTAGAACCCTTTACAAATGTTTTACTTGTTTTTCATAACATTACCACCGTTTATGA